TATATATATATATATATATATATATATATAAATGTAGTTTAAAGTCTTTATGCAATTATCTTAATTATATTCCAAACTATATCTACAATTATCAATGCTAACATAATAAAAAATAACAAAGTACTCTGCCAAGTATAAGTTACAGTTATTTTGCAAACGTTAAGATACAGTAAACAAAATAGTTTTATATTACATATGCATATCCATTCAATTTTAGAATAAAATTTTAGACTAACAATTTCCATTTCAAATGTTCACTAATATGTGTAAAGATAATTTAAAAAATATTAAAACTCGGTAAATCAAGAGATATATATAATGTAAGTAAGTAGCTGCAAAAACCTTTTCTACAACATACAGCACATTTTGATTATCTTGTCTTCTTAAAAAAAAAAAACCATCCACGCTGAATGGTTCATTTATCATCAGACGGACGGAGCGCCATGGCCAAAACTTGCTGCATCTGTATCCTAACATCTAGCTTCTTCTCCTCTGGCACCTGTCTGATGATTGGCAGCAGCGAGAGGAGAAACATCTTGTCATAGTCCTCCTCGTCGAGGGTAACACGCTGATTGCTGTGCGAGGAGAGGATGTCGTGTATCTCGTTGTCGAAGGGCGTGAAGGATGTCTCGCACAACTGTTTCGAATAACGCGGGCACACCTTGTACGAAGGTGTACCCGTCTGAAGGTACTCCCGGCTACTTATAGAGGTACCTGTTACAGAAGCACTGCCGTGTGTAAGAGGATCATACTCCTCGATCACAGGATTGTCCATTTCACCCTCGCTTTCCTCCGATTTGCAAGGAAGGTTGAGGCTCGAAGGAACTCTAAAACAAGATTAAAGTTAACGATATCATCAATTGTTCGTCGTTTCTGACGACAGTGATACCTCTTGTTCTCCACTGTTGGCATGAGGAATAACAATCGGTCGAAGTACATGTATTTCTTCCGTTTTCGTCCGGCAGGCCCAAAGTTATGCGATCTCTGAAGTTTCAGCTCTTTCATAAAATAATCCCGTATATTCCTCCATTTTCCGCGTAAATTTTTCTCTAAAAATTGTCACAAACTAACGATTACAATTTTCTTCTATAAGATATAAAATAATAGAATAATAATAATAATAATAATAATAATAGTGTATCAAATATCTAGAGAATCTTTTATAAAATTTTTGAAGAATTTATTTTGCTTCCTGATTTTTTGTAACGCGAGAAAAAATGAAGAATACGATTCTACATGGTTAACATATTTTGCATTTGTTTAGGCACAAGTACAAAATGTTCCTTTTCTATGTAAAATTCACTCATATTCTTCATATTTTCAATTAAAATTTTCGTGTTGAATTTTTAACATCGATAATACAATCAATATTATAATTTAATCCATATAGTTATTATTAACGTTGTAGCAGTAATAATCATAATTTAATTATGATGATTACAATACCAAGAATTTTTTCTCAAAATACAAATTGTGATTTTAAAGGAACACTGGAAGGAACAGTAATATATCAAAACATTTTTTTTTAATAAATATATTTAACTCCTTCAGATCGAATTTTAATGGAACTATGTTAAAAAATAGTCTTCTTGCGTGAGATGTGATTACAATTAATTATACAATCTCGACTCAGATCGCAATGTGCTGCGTTTCTTTTATATTAACTATCACTATTAGTTTTATTAATTTGATTTACTCAGATTTAGAATGTGCTTTGTAAGATTGACTCTCACGTGAAATTTCAATAACTTTTCAACACTATACTAATGTTCGTCAATATAATCAGGGATCTCAAAGTAGCGATGCAACATCTTGATACAAGACTGCGCAAGATTTTATACGTTTATACTGTCAAGATTTACCGGTCTTTTTAATTTTTATTTCACATTAATAATGACCTAATCGTTTGTACTGTGTTACAAAACGTTTGTATGTACATATAGTATATTGTTTTATTAAATTAAATTGTTTCGGCTCGTAGTCCTTCTTATTGTCATTACTAATTTTATTATTGTTGAGCCATAATATTATATTATTTTGTTTACGCTAAAAAAATTTTTTTATTCAATTTTTGGGTACACACTTTAATAAGTAGTTTATACTAAAAAATTTTAACTGTTTTTCCAACATATATATTCCAACACTAGATTTTAGATAATATCATTGATATCGTATCAATAGAATTAAATAACTTCAACGAATAATCTCTTCAAATTTAATATACATTTACACAACAAAATATACATAGAGTCTGAAATCAACAGAAATAACAAATCAACCTCATTTACACTTCATTTGCAGTGCAGCTATATATCTGCACTCTATCAAACTTTACTATATATTGTCTTGTAGACGAAATATTATGCCATAAAACTTTTTTTGGTTTATATTTTACAAAGCCTATTAAACAGCCGAATTTCGCTCTTAAAAACATTATAATGAATAAAATTATATGCTCCTTGTTTACAGTGCAGATACATATATGTTTTTATGATGATATTTTATCTTCTAGAAATAATATCATGCAGTGAGACTTTTTTAATTACTTTTTTTAAATTTAATTTTGCCTTTTTCCAAATAAAGAATCGTTCTATATGAATCTTAAGTAATTCAGTGACCTTCCTGATCACGAATATCGCAATTAAAACGTTATATTCATTTTAGCCATAATTTCAGCATAAACTCGTTTCCGATTAAAGGTCTTCAAGTTGACTCTCAAAGTAAAAATTTAGTAAAACATATTCTATATAAATAACAACGCCATCTAATTAATATATCAAAATCGCACTGCGTTTCCCCAAATTCCTACCATTTTTTTTATCGAAACCCGAGACCACGTGAAGATATCTTCGCCTAAACCTTTTCTATTACGGAGATCTACAATAGAAGTCATAGAAAATTGACCAATCACAGTCAAATGTGAGAAGAATGATCGACCATGATTGGTCAACTTTCTACGACTTAAGACTTCACGATTGCAACGGCTTCTATTGTAGACCGGTATTAGAACATCTCTTTTTTTTTAGATCTTTTCAATAAGATAGCTCAATCAATTCGATCGTATGGGGAATATCAATTCGCGACAGTTCCAAGTTTTTGGATTTCCGCTACGTAATTCGGCGGCTCGGCGGCTGAAGGAATCCGGATCGATCAATCGTGGCGCGGCCATGCCATATACCTTGCACGTTTCTCTCCTCGTCCGTCAAGCGCGCCCAATTCGGTACCATCACCTGGCAGACCTCGTCCCACGCGGTCATCTTGGCGTTACGGTCGTTGTACTCGCCGCGATTCACATCGTAGATCGCCGGCCGTCTCTCTATCTCTTCGATGAACCTCTCCGTGTCGAACATGGTCATAAGAGCTACCGAAAAATTCGCTTTCTTTTCTTCAATTGTACTCGCTCGTGACTATTCTTCCGCTTCGCAACTCGATCTTGCACCTCGCGCAGAAAGTGCTAATCGTTTCGCGAGTACTTTCCAAGTAGTACTTTCCAAAATCTCTCTCGTGATAAAAGATCGATAAAGTCCCTATCGAACGAAAGTCTTCTAGCGAATCTCAGATAGTAGCAGTGGAAAATGATCTTCCGATTTCTTCGCGGAAAGTTCAAACTTTCAAAAAAAAAAAAAAGAGATCGAGATCGCGACGATGGAACACCGCCACCGGTTCCTTCCACGAAGAACACGATGGTCACGGGTTTGATTATTATTAATCGATGATAATAATAATAATACCGCGAAAATGAATGATCGAAATCAACAAACGGAACAGCCGCAGTCGTGTTACTCGTCCAGCGTTATCGTGTCACGTCGTCGGCAGCGGCTTGCGCGTCACTGCGGAGAAACCGTTGCACGGCCAGCGCGGCTTCGGTATCATGGCGGCTCGGCGGCAAACGTACAGTTGCGGTTGCGGAGCGGAATCTATGCCGCCCGCGACGTTGCCAGACCGGCGCCGCCGGTCGGCGAGGCCACCGAGGGCTGTGGTCGCGGGTCGAGAGCGGGCCGAAAGAACGGCGGAATCGCGTCGCCGCCGCGCGTGTACACCACACACACGCGCGCGCGTACGCACGCACACCTATATACGATCGCACGAGGCGTATGGATATGGAAATACTCGCACGCAGAAATCCACATCTCGGAAGCACATGCCGGGCATCGCGCACAAACAGACAGAAAGGACATTTTTTTTTTCATGCTTTTTATGTTTCCACAAGAACGCGCGCTTGGTCGTATTTGCCAAATCAAATCAAAAACATTGAACCGTACAGCTTTCAAACTGTGAACTGTCGCTCGAAATTACTTAGTTGCTAGTCGATAGTACAGCAGATGACTACTCGTTTATTTCGAGATTTAAATAACTCGTATTAATTTTAATAAAGAATCGAATTCGACTGTTATTTATTTTAATCGAATCTGAATTCGACTATTTTCTGTTTTGAACTTGAGTCGATTAATTTGAATATTTGATTAAAGATACAAAATAGACTTGATTAAATTGAAAATCTTAATATTCGAGTATCAGACCATTTAATATTCCAGTCAAAAAATAGCGATCTCTAATTTTACTCGCTTTGTCAAAAAAAAAAAAAAATCTCATTTTAAGTGTAGAAATTTTGAGGGATTTCAAGTAACGTGAACAGACATAATGATTTTTGAAAGATTATTAGATTTCCACTTTTTGCAGTAACCTAATAAAAGAAACTATTATTTTCACGATTTTTACGTTCTTAAGAGGACACATCTGAATTAGATTTACCAAATAAAATCGAAAATCTTTAATAAATAAAGGAGCGTTAAATATGATCGAGGCTGAATCATGGTGCATAATAATATATATATTTCTATGTGTAAACTTTAAATACATTCAATTATATAAATTGCGCGCCGGTTACTGTCGGTTATTAAAACGCAATCATGAATTGAAACTGAAATAATAATACATAAATTAAATCGATTGCCAATTTAATAAAATAATGCTAATAAACAACTTAAAATCAGAAATCATCGGAGGATAGATTCTTAAAGCTAAATACTAAGCAATAGAGTCATTAATAGCTTTCTAGAGTCTCAGACGTCCACTTGCCGTAACAACCTAATAAAAGAAGTACACTAGAAATTGCTACTAGACGTTTACAAGCATACAATTTAATACGAATTAAGAATTCTGTATTTTACTTTAGAATATAAAATGACGTTAAATGCACATCTCGTTGCAATTTTCTGTAAAAGTGCGAAACAAGTGCAAAAAAATTCTAACTGCACAAGTAATATTAGTGTTTTGCAAATAATAGCAGCAAAGACTAACAAAATTAGTGAAATGATATCCACCGATATAGAATAACTTTAACCTCGGTTTAACTTACTCTTTATCTTTTTCCAATTTTTTTAGAACAAGAAACAAAACGAAGAGTTAGTTTTATATTATAAATCGAGATTAAAATTAAACTACATTAGTAGAAACAGGCATAAGTTTAATTACAAATTGAGTGAATAGTTTAGCTAAAAATCTGAGACATACGTAAATAATATAAAAAAAAAGGAATCGAAGTAGGAAGAAAAGGAGCTAGGTATACTTCAACTTTCAAGATTACAAGCAAAACGGATATCACGGATGTGGATGAAGTTGCCGAATGAATGAAGGAAGTAACGACGAAGTGAGTGTATCGAAATAAGAGGGGGGGACAACTTCATCCCGGTAGGGAGTTTCAAAAATAAAAGACGACGACCATGAAAGACATATTTCGATGCGACCGAAGTATGGTAGAAAGAGTGAGCATAAAGATCTCGCATCTCGTTAAGCGGCGTCTACAATGAAATTTTAACATGTAAAGCTTCAACCTTAAGAAATTGAACAATTGAGGTCTGTTTTATTCCTGCACTAGACTGCATCAGAACTCTCTCGCTTTCAAGAAATGTCATCAAATATATACCTGTCTCACTTTAAGTTCTAAAAGTACATTAGTTCAGTTATAGAAAACAGATCCATATAGTCGATTAGTCTCCTCACATTCGATTGTGATTGGAGTTTGATGTAATTAAGGCTTAAGTTTAAACTTTACGTCTTAAAATCTCATTGTAAACGTCACTTTATGCGTGCAATCGGTCTTGCCGTTCCTTTCGTGAATAACATAAAAAAAAGACGCAAGGAATCAAATAAATATTCTCGTGCCTCCTCCTCGAGATGTTTTCTAATAAGTAAAACAAAAAGTCCTCGTAATATTAAAATACGATTAGTATTTTATTATTAATTTTTTTATTTATAAATAAAGAAAAAAACGGAGGAAAAAGTTTCATGTTATTTCTTATTAATTGCTTCTTTTATTTATTTTGTACATAGATATAGAATTATTAGATGAAAAATGAATAGAGCAGAGCATCGAATCGGTTCCAAGCCTTCCTGATTAAATTCTGAAAATTTCCGTCAAAGGATTAAAAGTAGAATTACTTTTAGTTCTTTCTAAAGGTATCTAATATTAATAATCTAATGTTAATGCGAGAGAGAGAGAGAATAATTTATTATATTTGCAGCATTTATTATTATTAACTATATTAAATTAATAATTGTATATTTTTTATTCTTCGACACAATCTTCGAACAAAATTATTAAATAATATTGAATATTATTAAATAATAAATAAAATAATATTATTAAATAATAGAATTATTAAATAACATTGAGAAAATGTCTCGATCGGCTCGAAACGTTTGTAATCATTTTTTATTTTTATGTTTTTAAATTAAACGTTCTTTATTATATAACTTGGCTCTTTATAGCCCTTCAATCGTTCTATTTTATAGAAATTATTATTTCAATCTTCCAAGATTTTAATATCGAAGCTTTGAATCCATAAAATTCGAATGTCAAAACAAATCACTAGGCCAATTAAAAATTATTTTTTGATCATGATTCATTTCATGTTATTTCGACGTTATCGCGATCGTTGTTCTGCTTGGTTTCTTTCAGGAGGAATTAAACACGTCGTCATCGTCGATGTACCGGTGAACGTGCGTTCCAGCCGGTTCGCACCGGGAGATACACCCCTCGATGCGGCAAATGCGGAATTCGCGCCGCCGCGACGTTGCCAAGTCGCCATCGTTGGTGTCGGAATTCATGTGTTGCTACGCGACATCGTCGCCGTATCCGACGACGAGGGTGTGCGCGTGATTACGGCAACGTCGACGCGTTTCCACCGCACCGTTATCGACCGCGGCGAGCGTTGCGGATCGCAGACGAAATCGACGCCACCACGATCAGCAGCGCGTCACAGTTTCGACGCCCATGCATATCCGAATCGTTGAAACATTTCGCATATTTTGTTCACTGCAATTTTTTGTTTATTAAAAGAAAACCGTTCGAATTGTTGTCCGTTAAAAAATCGCTTAGAATCGAAGCAATATTTTCAACGGCGACATAATATCGCATTTAACATAATTAAAAAGAAAATAGAATGCATTGTAAAGAATAGTTAACACTAAAAAGTATCAACGTTTTTTACTCACTAAAATAGGGGACTAAGTAAATAAATTATAAAATAGAAAAAGTAATGAAAATTCATTAGTATGAAGAATAATTATTGAAAGGTCAAATAATTTCATATTCCTATTTGTACACAAGAAATAATTAATTTGAAAAATAGAAACGATAGTAATAATAATCAATTATGATACAGATTTAGACGGATATATATGAGAATATATCAATATAATTAAATAAGAGAAATCCTAAATTGGTCAAAGTAGATCTTAGTGCTTTGTTGAATTTTTGTTTTAAATTTGTACACATATATCTGATGTTTTTGCGATAGTAATAATAATTATAATAATATAATAATTCGGTATTTCTAAAGATTCAGTTGATATTTTGATTATGAATTTGGTACAATCCGTATAAAATGTAAATAAAACATAATACAATTTCTAGTAAAAACTTGTTAAAGCTTTTATAAATATGCAAGATTTTTCCAAATTTGCAATTTGGAACAAAGTAAAAATTTGTATATTTTCATATTTGAAAAAATTTTTAAGAGTATTAGTATTATTATTTAATATTATTAAATAAAAATTTGCACTAAAGTTTAAAGACCCAGATTACCGGCAAAAAATGCAAAATTCCCTATGATCCACGGAAGATCGTTATAAAAAACAAACAATACGAATAAATAGAAATAAAAAGACAAAAATAAATTGTTTCTGCAAAAGTTTTCTTTCATCGGAAAGTTAGAGTCGTGATGTGAATTTTACGTGCGAACGATGCGACAAATGGAACTTCCGCGCGCACGAATGTATGAATCGAAATATAAATAATACAACACGACACACTCACATGCGTAAGTAGGACTTTGAGCGCAATTACGAGAGGATTACAAGGGACTGTAAGTGACCATTAGCCGCTTATTCGAACGCAGGAACGATTCGCCGTCAAGTCGCGCGCATTGATCTACCGACCAATGGAACGTAGGCATTCGTATCGTCCGATGTATACGTCTCACATCACGCATGTCAAGTTTGAAGAAGTAACACCTTCGACTTGCGCCGTTCTTGAACTTCGAATTAGCCCGTATATCCGAAAGCGCTTAGCGCCACGTGCTCAGAAAATGCTTACGTCATTAATGTTCAACAATAACAACAGAGTAAATAAAAAGAAGAAGATATTAATTTATCGTCGACGCGATAAACAATGCGCAAATTGTAATAAACAACTCTTTAATAATTGTGACTTTAATTTTATGTGTTTTTTTAATTGTTAAATAATTTTTTATTATTACAATTTGTTAATATTGTTTACTCATTGTTGTGACTCTCATAATCTTCTAATTCTTTTTAATACACAATGTTTTAAATTTAGCAACATTGCAACGTTCCTGTAATATTGCAGCAATATCGGAAATGTTAGAGCAATGTTGCTGGGCGAGCTTCTATAACTATATAGGATAGAAATTTAAAAAAAATCATAATAATGTCATTCGATTCACTTTTAATGATGATTTTGTGATGGATTCTTCATATGATTCTGAGTGACTTTTTAATTAAGAAATTATTTAAGGATCATGTCAGGAATTCATCACAAAATTATCGTTAAAACACTGTATTGAATAATATATATTATTATGATTTTTCCTAAAATGATTTCTACTTGTAACGTTATTTTGATCTATTATAATTAATGTGTTGGTCTCCTTACAAATATATACTATCTCGTTCTAGTTTTATTATGTCACTCTATAATTAAGATTACAAATCACTGAAAATTACAAAGTCGATGAGACTTAGAATTTGACTAATTAAATACTGTTAATTTTAATCGATTTTGTTCTACAGGGTGGAATTCTAATCTTAATTTCCAGTGACGTAAATATAATCTTATATAAGTCTAGTGGTCGCATGCGTGACCACTTATCCTGACCATTAATTTTGTAATCATAAATGTATTCGTTCTTTAAGAAAGTCCGTTCTCATATTTACGGAAAATATGTAGTGTTTACGAGAAAAATATTGCGTATGCAAGCGAACAGAAACTCGGTCTCCCTTGTTTGAACAATTCATATGTAGGGTGTTTTCTCTAACTGAAACGTTTAAAATATCTCTTGCATTATTGACTTATTTTAATTTATTTCTTCGAAGCCTTATCATTCAAGAGATAAATACCGTTAAAATTTCTCTGTTTTTTTTTAAATAATACGACAAAATATTAAAGAAAGAAATTGTTCGTTTTAAAAGAACAAATATTACGATATAAGTATACATAACAAATTTTCTTAAGATCATATTATTGTGATTTCAAGATTATGGATTTACATGTTAATAACAAAAAAATGAAATTATATTTTTTACGCAATGTGATTTCTTTAATTATTCTGCATAAAAGTACTAAGGTAGAATTATAAAAGAATCAATAATATATGTCAATTATGAAATATTTTCTACTTTATTCTTGTACTAATGTGAAATATAAAATTTCTCGTAAATTTTTATTTTTATTTATTTATTATCTTAATTCTTTGACGCACAGAATGAGATAAGTTAACTGATATAAATGTACAGTCCTTTTAAAAAATATACATATATAATTGCATCATTTTTTCAAAAGAGCTTTATTTAAAATGAACACAGTTCATTTTTTAAATGAACAATTTTCCATTTTAATATTTCGTATCATTAAAAACAGTTAACACAGGCACTTTATTAAATACTAGAGTTAGAAGAAACATCCTGCATATTTATATGGTTTTTTCGCTCGAAATTAGAGATGCAAAATCCAGGAATAATTAAGAGTTATTAAGTCTTATTGTTAGTATAAGCAAGCA